CGTTCGGTGCTTCCGCGTCAACATCAGCTTTCGGCAAGCCGTCCGGTTTCGGCGCGTTTGGCGGTGCCAGCAGTTCTACCCCGTCAGCATTCGGTGCTGGTGCGAGTGGTGGCACGACCTCTGCGTTCGGCCAGTCTTCCTTTGGCCAGCCTGCATTCGGCCAGTCGGCCTTTGGGAAACCGACGGGCGGGTCTGCGTTTGGTGGCGGGTCCGCGTTCGGTTCCCCCGCGTCGGGTGCTACCACTTCGGCTTTCGGGCAGCCATTACAAGGAACTTCAGCATTTGGCCAACCTGCACAAGGAGGCGCCGCCTCAACTTTCGGCCAGCCCGCGCAAGGCACAACAACCTCTGCGTTCGGAACGCCTGCACAGGGTGCCACAACATCTGCGTTCGGCCAGGCGTCCTCGTCAACACCTGTGTTTGGGCAGTCTGTCTTCGGTAAGCCCGCAGGTACGTCGGCCTTTGGGGCACCAGCGTCGGGAACGACTACCTCTGCCTTTGGCCAGTCCGCACAGACAACATCTGCCTTTGGCCAGCCCTCACAACCCACGTCTGCGTTTGGCCAACCAGCGCAGGGCGCCGCCACGTCAGCCTTCGGCCAACCCAAGCCTGCGCAAGACTCTGGCACGCCGTCGGCGTTTGGCGCGCAACAGACGACGTCCGCCTTTGGCCAGTCGTCCTTCGGACAAAGCGCGTTCGGCAAGCCCGCATTCGGCTCCACGCCGTCGAACGGCAGCGGCTTCTCCGCGTTCGCTAACACGGCCGGTGCCAGCAACAGCGGGGGAGCCGGCACCAGTACGGGCGCGACAGGTGGTAGCAGCGGAGGAGCATTCTCTGCGTTCGCGGGCGGGCAGCCGTCTGCATTCGGGCTTGCAGCCGCAGCTAAAGCGCCAGGAGGGTCCGTGTTCGGGCAGTCCGCCTTTGGCGGTGGGAACAACGCCTCCTCGCCTGCACCTGCACAGTCCGCGTTCGGGAGCACCTCGTCCCCCGCACCTGTGCAGTCTGTGTTCGGAGGCGGCACGCCCGCGCCCGCGCCCGTGCAGTCCGCGTTCGGTGCCGGGGGAACAACATCGACGCCTTCCGCGTTTGGTTCGTCCTCCGCGTTCGGAGCACAGGGCGCGTCTAGCACGCCCTCCGCGTTCGGCGCCGCCCCCTCACCCGCACCCGTCCAGTCCGCCTTTGGCACGCCCGCACAAGCACCCCCGCCAGCGCAGGCCCCCGCGTCCGTCTTCGGCACCCTCACGAACCAGCCTGCCGCGTCCGCCTTCGGGCAGCCCGCGCCCGCCTCCAACTCGTTCTTCGCTCAGTCCGCCCCCTCCGCGCCGGGGGCCGCTGCGCAGAAGAGCGGGCAGGGTAGGCCGGACTTCGCGGCCGCGCGCCGGCGGCAGCTGTATAAGCCGGGCGCGACGAAGTACGACGAGCTCCTGCCGGCGAACTACATCGAGCTCCTGCCGAAGGCGGCGCTGGACGCGTTCCGCGCAGAGGGCGACGCATTCGAGTGGGGGAATATCCCCGAGTGGATCCCGCCGAAGGAGCTGCGGTAGCGTTCCTGCGTTTTGCCGCATCGTTTAGATGTCAGGCTGGTTGGGGACGGTGCTGTAGAGTCACGGCGGAGCGACGGGTGCGCCTGGCACGGCGGCCGGAGACTCGAGTGGGTCGGGGTTGAGTACGTTTTGCGGATTTTCATGAACATGTGCATTGTATACATAGGCTCCCTGCAGCGTTCCGTCCATGCCCATGATGATCCGGGCGGTCCGGTACCGCCATCGCGCAACGAGGCACCCAGGGCACTCGTAAGTAGTCTCAAGTGACAGGTGAAGAGCCGAGACTGCCGAGTGCGCCCTGGGCCCTGCGGTAGTACGCAGCGAACACGAGGTGCCCATAAGCCCAAATACAGTCAAACACCGCCGCGCACAGCCGTAGTGGCGGCCGGACCCGGCGGAGACGCAGCCCGAAGCGGTCCCCAGTCTGAGTCGCTGGTACATACTCTGCACACACCATCTGAACCCTCCTGCTGCCAGGGGACTTCTAGCCCAGGGTCGCGGAGTGTGGCGCTCGCGGCGGTGCGGTCGCTCTGATGGCGGCACACCGTCCCTCCATTCAGTAATACAAGGATGGCCGCGGCTGCACAGGTTCGCCGGCGCTGCGCCGCCGCCATGATGGCCAACGATCCGGCGGTCCCTAATAGGGAGTGCATTGTCACCTGCTACTCCGGCTGGGCCGCACTGTTGCTCACGCTGCCATGGCCTCGGGCGACGACTGGGACGAGGAGGCGGACGCGGCGCAGACCGCCAAAGCTGCGCCTGTACACATCCCCGTTGGGCGCTGTTCACGACGTACCCGCGAAAACTCACGGGGGCGGAAGACGTGCCGTCGCCGCACTGGCAGGGCCTGTGCACGACGCGGTGGCGACGACGACGGAATCATTCGCGCGCCGACAGCGGCACCTCCCGCGCCCTCGCCGACACAAGCCCCGCCGAACGACACACAGACGGCACGACCGCGACGGATCTCAGGAGCGCCATGCCAGCCATCCGCGCAGGGCCACATCGGCGATGAGGAAGTGGGGGGGGGGGGGGGGGGGGGGACTCGCGCGGATGCCGTCTCGCTCGCCAGATGGGGCGAATCTCGCCGTGCCTCATCTTGAAACTAGCAGCACACGCCAAATGCTCGGCGCGGGCCCGTGCACCACACGCTTCTGCGCCACACCGCATCCTGCCCGGGTCGGGGCGGGGGCGGTACGGCCCCAGCTGTCCCGCGCGAGTGCGCGCGCACGCAGATGGCCGACGAGCCCGTGTCCCGCGCGCCTGCGGTCAGCGACGGCGGGAGCCTGATGTCGGCGGCGGCGGCGCACAGCCTCTGCATTGTACTTACCGGGACGACGTCGTTCGCCATCGCCGGCCGTCATGTGCCACGCGGAGAGCGCGGATGCCGCGCTGCAGTGCGTGGATGGCGGCCCATACTGTACTTACACAGGGACCCTGTTGAGCTCACTGAGGCGAGGCCCGCATCGTGCGGAGCTATGGTGTGGGCGCGCAAGCGGGACGCCTGACGACCGGCCAAAGGAGGCCTCGGGCGGACCGTGGAGCTGTCCTAGGACGACAGTTCCATTATTGCTTCTGTCAGGGACGTGATAGCGGACGTCGACGGTAAATCGGGATCGAATGGGAAGTAGATGCGTTTGTCTTGACGGTGACGCTTCATTTTGCGGTAGGACACCGATGCCACCGTGGGTAGATGGCGGGGTGGACCGCCTCCCGGGTATCTGTCCCCTGCCACACTACCATCCGGTATACTGGTAGAGCGCCGCGTTGAGGGCGCGATGCATTGCGGAGCATACAACAGTTCGCTCCGCGCGCTGTACCCGCTTTGACATGACCGACCCTTTAGTCCTGTTTCGCCCAGGGTAAGGGTTTAGACAAGTCGATGTTTCCGCCGCTGATGATAATGCCAACGGGGCCTTGAATGCCCAACGCCTGAAACTGTGCGCTCCTGACGGCGGCGAAGGCCGTGGCACCGCTTGGCTCGACGACCAGCTTCAGCCGCTCCCACATGAGACGCATGGCCTCCACAATTTCCTGAGAATGAGTTTTGCGGCTCAGCACCGTCCGCACACGTTCCAAACGCCGCCGGAAAGGGTGAACAGCACACCCACCTCGTCCGTGACAGTGATCACGCGCTCGACCTTCTCCTGAATGATCGGGAAGTTGAGCACGCCTACCGGCGTCCGCAGGCCGTCCGCAATGGTGTCCGCCTGCACGTCCGCGCGGCGCTTGCCCTCCCTCAGGCCCTGCGCACAGTCGTCCGCGCCCGCGGGCTCGGCCCCGAACACGCGCACGCCCGTCCCGTCCGCGGCGAGCGCGGTGCCCGCGAGCAGGCCGCCGCCGCCGACGGGCGCGACGACCGCGGCGAGCGGCTTCGGGGCCTGCTCGAGCAGCTCGAGCAGCGCGGTGCCCTGGCCGAGGATCGTGTTCGCCGCGTCGTACGGCGGGATGAACGTCGCGCCCGTCTGCGCCTGCACCTCCTCGAGCGCGGCCGCGCGGGCGGCCGCGTTGGGCTCGCAGAAGGTGATCGAGGCCCCGTACCCGCGCACCGCGTCCACTTTGGGTTGTGCAGAGTTGTTGGGCTGGTGTGGAGGGCAGGGGCGGCGGTTCGGGCCGTCAGTACGAGGACGTGCGGGAGGCTGGTCGGAGCCTGAGAGGGCGCACCATCACTACGTAGCACTTGACGCCGCGTTCCTTGGCGGCCAGAGCGAGGGCTCCGGCATGGTTGCCTGCCGGGTCGTGTGAGCTACAAGCGGTGGACACGGCCTGACAACTATGCGCCTGTGGCCGCGGGCAGATACAGCACCTGAGCTATGCGTGCACACGCCCTTCTCGAGCTCCTCCGGGGACAGGCGTGACAAACTGTAGCTGGCACCGCGGAACTTGAACGCGCCGGCCTTCTGCAAGTTCTCCGCCTTGAGGTAGAGCGCGTTTCTGCCGGGGAGCGACGCAGAGAGCGACGAGGACGTGAAGACTGGTGTCTGGTGAATCTGTTGCCGGATCGCCTCGTGCGCGACGGCTATGGAAGCACTGGTGAGGGGAAGAGGGGGCACAGCCGCCGCTGGGCCAGAACCCGGAGTCAGCGCGGGCGGAGCCATCGTGTGGTTTGTGACTGAGTCGATAGCTGCTATCTCAGCTCACGTACACACACTCACAGCCATCGAAGAGGTCGACTCACCGTGATGATCGATGGGCGGAGGTAAGTGCTGTACTCGGCCCCAGCACATGAATCTGATTGCGTGCGTCTGTGTGTAGTCGTGGGCGGCCTCCACGAAGCGAAGCGGCCGGCGGACCGCCCATCGCGCTCGTTCTGCTCACCACATTCAAGTACATTCTGACTGCCCCCGCGCAGCTCTCTTCCGATCCCCTCGGCCCCGTTGCGACACGCGAGTCGGAGAGAGCAAGCTGGGGCCGGAACTTGCGACAATGGTTTTGAGAGAAAGCGGTGGAGAAATATTCCCACTAGCCGACTTGAACGACTGACCTCGTCATGACTTCCCAGGCGTCCTTGCGAACGAGCTAGTACTAGTGACGCGCTCTACCAGCTGAGCTAAGCGGGAGGCGAAAGTCTAACAATGAGTGTCAAACATAGATTGCGTGTTGTAAGACACTGCACTCGTCTTTCCGTTCTGACCTTCATGATCCTCGTGGCATACTCCACTGTTTTTGCCTGCTCTTGCCCGCCCCCTCTCTCGCGGCCACAATTGACTGCATATGCATGGATATGTACAGCGGTGCGGCGGCTACTGAGGGCAAGACAGTCCCCGCTCATCCGTCCCGACATGAACTGACGCGCTGACAGAGTGACCAAACCCCCACGCTAGGCACGCCGCATATGTCAACCATACGGAGCAAGACTTGTTCACCGTAATAGATTGGACACAGCGCCACGGCCAAACATAACGTGTCTCGCGACGCATCTCCGGAGCAGACACTGCACCCTCCCTTCCGCGATTCCCGGCCCCTGGCCGGGTATGTTTCGCCTCGATCAGTGGTACGCAATCCGGTGTCGCGCTGTGATCCACTCACCATGCCGGCCCACGGGAACTCGGCCGGTCGCCGTGCGCACGGTGCGCGTGGACGTGAGCATGGGAAGCATGCGAGGCGAGGGGACACTCGGGTAAGCATCTAGGATTGGCATACGCTGCCATCACGCGTAGTCAGAGCTGGCACCGAGCCGCTGCCTCATCCACGTCGATATGTCAGCACGACACGGTGGGAGTCGTTCATCTTGCCTGCACGTGCCCGTAAATAGGTTAAGATCCTGCCGGGACAGGCCCGAGGGTCAGGGTCGGGTGAGTTACGAGTAGGCTAACTGCTATGTCATGCCTTGTCGAGCAACGGCCTCGCAGGTGTAGGTCAGCCTGTGTCCAGAGCGTCGACACCGTGCCGAATAGCATTGTAATACACCGCGTACCTATAGATGCCGGCGACGCGGTATGCCAGACATCTATCACATCTTGACTGCTGTCTAACCTCATTTCTCGCAGCCGCAAGTGTGGGCATTCCAATACGCGGTGCCCCATCTTCTCTTCTTCGTTTCGCCGCGCCACGACGGCGGGCTGAGCCGGGGAGGCAACAACAGACGACCGAGTTGACGAATGCGCACAGCTGTGACGCCTTCGCAGACCGACGTCATGCTGCGGAGCGTTCGTCGACTCGCACCCGAACAGCCGCCAGGGTAGGGAGCATACGCCTATCTGTGACCCTCGGATGGACGCCCGGGGTGTATGTTGACCGTGTATGTTGACCGTGTCCGGTGTTTTGCCATTGCCCGATGCGGGCTCTGTGCCGCGCTTGGCGATTGGCAGACGTGAAGCACCATTTGGCGGTCGTGGCAGTCGGCCTCTATCCGTGCCTATGACACCCGGTCAATTCTGCAGTGGCGGCGGCGCCTCTGCGCGTGCATGCGGCGAGCTGCCAACCGGTTGAGAGTCGAGCCGCGCACGAAGACAATTCTACGTGCAGGTTTGGAGCCTGCTGGCCGTGCGTATGTGACAGGGCTGTCTGCGCACCGAGCTCGGCCCGGCCGATGCCCGCGGCGCATTTGCCCCCATATGCACCTGCCCGTGCTCACCGCAGCGGCAGCCGCAGGTGTTGGGTGGGGAGATGTCAGTTTCCGTCGCAAATTGACACGGCATTTGAGGTCGTGCGTGCAGAACACAAGCACGGCTGGACCAGCGCCCGGGAGAAGCCGCGTTCTCGTACCGCCTCGCTGTCCGTCTGGGGCAAAGCCGGGAGCGTGTTGGGCCAAGGGCCCGCGCAGGCTCCGTGCGGTGGAGATGCCGGACGCGTTAAGCTCACGAGTTACGCCGCGCTGCGAGGCAGGCAGCTCTCGCTTGCTTCAGCCCAACACTGCTTCGGACTGGGGGACGGAGGAGTGCGCTGACTCGAGGAGGGGTCGTGTGTCATCCTGGTCCAAATGCAGACCTCGCTGCCAATCAATAATCACATCCGCGAGGCGGCGCCAAACGGCGATGGGCAGTGGTGCGCGGCGAGGGGGGACGTCCTGTTTGGTGATGTGCGGGATGTGTGGGCAGGTGCGATGCGGCCAGGGCCCGTCGCAGGTGTTTGCGCTCGAGCCCGACGTGGGCCCGTGCGGGGTGCCTTGCCCTCGCGATGGACAGGCGATGGGGCGCGGGTGGATGAGTTGGTGTACGTTTGGAGATCTGGACGAACACCGCCATGGCCTGACTCATCGGCGCGGCAATCTGATGTGCAGCAGTCTGTTTCGGACGGGGCGGGACGATCTGGGATCTGGCACTGACGGTCGTGCAGGATCGTTTGGTGGATGTTGTGCATGCCGCGATCAGGCAAGGGCTGTCCCCGCGCGCCCTGTTCGCCACCGTCCTCGTATGTGTTTTGCAACTCGACTCGTCCAGGCAGACATCGCTCGCAGCGTCTGCGAGATCCGAGTCCGAATCCGAACCAGTGTCCGCCCGACTCCCTCCCGCCTCGCGAGGGTGTATATAACCTGCCCCTGGTTCCATGGCGCATTCTCACCCCCACCGTCAAACTCCCCCGGCTTCTCGCCAATCTCCCACCCTCGCCCTCCTCCCTCGTCCTTCTCCACACCGTCTGATCTCACTCCATCATGGGCGCCCTCCACCAGAAGATCTGGCTCATCACAGGTCCGTCCATCTCCTCTCTGCCGCCGCCGCACCCGCACCGAGGCTCACTGCACTCGTCTTCTCCCTCTTTGTGCAGGCACCTCCTCCGGCTTCGGCAAGCGCCTCGTCGTCTCCGTCCTCGCCCGCGGCGACTGCGTCATCGCGACCGCGCGCAACATCGAGAAGCTCAAGGCGATCTTCCCCGCCGCCGAGCGCAGCCGGCTGCACCTCCTCCAGCTCGACGTCTCCGACTCGGCCGAGGACGTGCAGCAGCGCATGCAGGACGCGCTCGCCATCTACGGCCGCATCGACGTCGTCGTCAACAACGCCGGTTACGGCGTCAAGGCCGTGCTCGAAGAGGGAGGGTGAGTGCTCCCTCCACCTTCCGCCCACGCCGCGAGCCACGCGCTCACACGTCCGTCGATCAGGTCGCTCGCCGCGCTCACCCAGTTCCAGACGAACGTCTTCGGCGTGCTCAACGTCACAAACGCCGTCCTCCCGCACATGCGCGAGCGCCGCTCAGGCACGGTCGTCATCATAGGCAGCCGCTCCGCGTGGCGCCCAGAGGTCTCCGTACGTCCCCCTCTCCTGCCCCTGCAGCAAAACACCCGGTCGCTGATCGGTAGCGCCTACGCAGCCCGCGGGATTCTACGCGGCGTCAAAGGCCGCAGTGCACGGTAAGCGCCCCCGCTCCGCCCGCACCTTCGAACCAGCGCTCACGCTCTCCATGCCCTCCCCAGCGATCGGCGAGACGTACGCGAGCGAGCTCCGGCCATTCGGGATCCGGGTGCTCGTCGTCGCGCCCGGCGCGTTCCGCACCGAGGGCGTGCACGCCTACCCGGCGACGATCCACAACCACGTGCCGGCGTACGACGGCACACGCACCGCGGGCATGGCGCGCTTCGCCGCGCTCGCGGGCACCGAGAAGGGCGACCCCGCGCGCGCGATGGAGCTCCTCGTCGACGTCGTCAAGGGCGAGGGCGCCGCCGCGGGCCGCGAGTGGCCGCTCTGGCTCGTGCTCGGGCGCGACGCGTACGCGGACGTGCGCGCCAAGACCGCGCGGCTCCTCAAGACGATGGACGCGTGGGAGGACGTCGCGACGGACGTCGAGTTCGTCGGCGGGCCCCTGCAGCAGCAGCAGCAGCAGCGGCAGTGAACACGCACCCGCGCGGTCGCTGGGCCCCTTGCTGTCCGCGCCGCTCCTGCCCCTCGTCTCGCCCCTGCGCCGCGGCGGTGCCGCGCGCTCCGTGACGGACACGGACGAAACTGCCCAAATCTCGCCCAATACTCATCGTCCTCTCCGCTCGTCGGGTCTGGACTGGACTGTGGACTGCATTTCTGTATTTATCGCTAACTATCCCGCCCCCCGCGCAAACTGCTCCCGCCTCATGCACTCATCGCCCCCCTCTCCCCCCCCCTTCCCCCGGATCTCGATTGCAACTACTCTTGACATTGTCTCAAAAACTACTCACACACTACGATACTCTAGTACATAATCGTAATAGCCCCGGACGCCCACGCACTGTATCCCCCACACGCATGTATCTCCCGCACACCCACCGCCATCGCCCGCTTAATGCACAACGCACAACGCACATCATCTCCTCTGTGCTCTCCCGCACGAGCACGCACCCCCCGCCCGAGTCGGCGGCGGCAGGGCAGGAGGCGCCCCGATCTCAGGCACACACCGAGCTCGGGCAATCGCCACTCCTTCGCACCCGCGACTCGGCGCAGGCACATACATACGTACCGTAGCACCTCCTCGTGCCCGAGTTGGGGGTCGCAAGGCCTGCCGACGTCGGCCCGCCGATCCTGAACACTCGGGTTGCCCCCCACACCGCTTTTCCTTCCACCGTGTAGCCCACGTATGTGTCCCCTTAAACCGGCGCGCAGCATCCGGACAGCTGGGTGCCGGACGGGCGCCGCGAGTCCTAATAGTCAACACAAGCTGTGGACTGCGCGTTTCCGGGGGCCTCGAGGCTAATAGGCTCGTAATGTGGACGCCAATGTACAGCATCTGATAGCCCCATGGGGACACTCTCGAAGCCCGCTATCATCGCTACTTGCGAGCACTGGCTTCGCGCGGTCGAGGCTTTTCGCGGCGCAGTACGCTGCACAGCTCCTCGACCTCATGCAACTCCAGGTAAGACAGAGGAACGATCACGTGGGCGTGTCTGGATTCCCGCAGGCTGTGGTGGTCCACCATATTCCTCAATCGCTGTGCGCAAGGGGTGGGATCACAATTACAGTTGGTTATTGCTGGGAACGGAATGCTGCATGATCCAGAGGAAACACTTGATAATCATACGAAAATTGCGTAGCTAGTAACTTGACATCAATTCGTGAACGGTGCTGAACTCCGTGAACGAAGCCATCGTGACGGTCGTGCGTGTCGTGAGAGTCGAGAGGGGGGTGTCGGTCGTGATGATCGTGTACGTGGCAAAAGCGGG